GAATCTATTTGTTAATTCATCACTCTGTGTAGTTAAATTGAGTATTCTATTTCTTCATCTGCTCATGCTGCCTTTTTTCTTTATACTCATTGTCATTTTTTAACTCTATAATCTTTTAAATATATATAGAAATTCATTCAATTCATGTCAGTATCTTCTTCTGCAGTAAATTCTTTCATATCTGCTTTCATATTCTAACTAGTGGTTATACGGGGGGGGGTTTGGGTGGCGTTATAACCCATGTTACTATGTATGTTAGCCAAGTTGGATTCCTAAGACCCTCAAAAGTACAATCACGTGATATAAAATCGAATACCCTGACGCCGTTGATGACAGCCGGCTGTAAGCCTGTAACCTAGCCGAGAAGCGAACTGGGGTTGGCGGGCAAATTGCCGTAATTATCGAATAAATAGCAAAAGTATCAGAGATGATTTCGGCAGCATCCTATTTAACCCCCTACTATGTAAATGTACTGTACGTTTGAGGGAGAAATCAATTGGCGCATGAGATGTTTTTGATTTTGATCTTGATCTTGATCTTGATCTTATTTTATTTTTTGTTTTCTCCGTCAGTCACTACGCCAAGAGAGTGAGAAGCACTGTATCTGTTGATTATTATTGTCTCGGTTATACCCTACACCCATATTTAGCGCCAGATATAGACACAGGCGTAGTCGCGACATTGCGGGGAAATGGACAAACGGGCTTCCACGACTTGAGACATGGGAACACACTAGCAAACTCACTTCTATCTCTTTCTCCTTTTTCCTCGTTGCTGTCCACTTGTCCACAATCGGAGAAGCAGTAATACGAGGGTAGATGCTCCAGGACCGTAGTTTGACTAACTACTGCGTAGAGCCTGAAACAAGAAGAATACGGGCATACAGTTGAACGTAGTTAATAAAAAGTTGAACATGGTTAATTTTTCGGGTCGGAATAACCTTCGGCGTAGTTTTAACCATAAATCATATCAAACCCCCCCATTAAAACTACATACACTAGTCATGTCTCATACATATTTCACACATGATGATTTTATCATATTTCTCAGAGCTCCATTTCTCAGCTAATCTGGATTCTAACTCTAGATTGCTAATTCTAACTCATAACTGCTTTACAGATTTTGAAGACCTTCAGATGTTGAAATAAGACTAAATAAGAGCTGATTAGTAATAGACAGTGCGGGAGTGTAGAAGATATTTAGTGGGTGTAGATTTTAGTGAGAGATTATTTTTCAGACTCACTTTTTTTAAACCATGTTCAACTTTTGATAAACCACGTTCAACTGTACAGAATAACCCGGAAGGATACCAGGATTTCCTGGGATCCGATCGCCAACATCATTGGCCAATGGCCCATTCAGCGGCGTCTCCCAGGGCGAGGCCGAAGGGGGTCCGTAACCGTCTTACGAGCATTACGGGGACATGAGTTACCGGATATAGCTCCTTGGCGCCTTGGCTCCATCTGGAAAGCTGGCCTCAATGGTTCATTACCTAATCAGCCTCCGTCGATGGCGGCAAACCCTCCTCAAAGCCAAACGCTCACCTCGCTCTCGTCGAACTGGCAGCAACCTCCCGTTGTGTTGTCGCTCCTTTATCTTTCCATCTCACTTCTCACCGGTCCTGTTGATCCAACCTCTCCTCACACCCTTCTAAGGTACTGATTTGCCTCCCCTCCACGTTCCCCTCTCGCTCCCCAACTTCGCTTCCTCGAACTCCATCCTGCCCGAATTATGACGCCACTCAGGTTTCTCTAATAGGAGTAACCATCGGTCTCACTCCCCGTA